AGCTAGTCCCAAAGAACCGAATAATACAAGATAGAATATCACAGAATTCAGTAATCGCCAAAGTTATTATTCCACAACTCCATTTAGAAATCATGATTTCACATGAATTAATCGTTGTAAACTCATCAGCTGGATATACCTGGATCTAAGTGTTGATGTTTACATTGAGACTAGGGCCTAATAATCTTGTCCTATCAACACCAGCATCAGAACTGAGATGGATATATATTTTCCAGCTGACGAGTCGTAAATTAGACAAAACAACGAATCCTGTTTACCTCTAACAGTCATTATTATTTTTAAAAAAAACTAACCAAAATAAACATTACCATTTTCTTTGGATAATTTCTCAAAACCATCTTCATATAAATGGGTTCGACGAACAACAAGAGAAACACTTGGTTGATTAGACATATTATATATTCGTCGAAATGGATTACGATTATATGTACTACCATCATTGATTAGAATTTTAAATAACTATAAAAAAACGTAAAAGAAAAAAAACTAAGATACATTGTAACACAATATAGCGTGCACAGAACAACACTATGGAAGTTTCTTTGATACTACGGCGTGCCTCAGAAGATAGTCAATATCATACAGAATTCCTATGATGGATTAAACTGCAAAATTGTGCATGAAGGACAGCTGACAAACTCGTTCGAAGACCGGTGTCAGGCAAGGTTGCTTACTCTCATCGTTTCTCTCTCTCTTGGTGATCGACTGCATCATGAAGACGTCAACATCTGAAGGGAAGAACGGGATACAATGGACATGTAGGATGCAGTTGGATTATCTAGACTTCGCAGATGATCTGGCCCTCCTATCGCAATCGCAACAACAAATGCAGGAGAAAACTACCAGTGTAGCAGCAACCTCAGCAGAAGTAGGTCTCAATATACACAAAGGGAAAAGCAAGATTCTCCCATACAACACAGCATGCACCAATCCAATCACAATTGACAGAGAAGATTTGGAAGATGTAAAAACCTTTACATATTTGGGCAACATCATTGATGAACATGATGAGTCTGATGCATATGTGAAAGCGCGGATCGGTAAAGCAAGAGCAGCATATTTACAACTGAAGAACATCTGGAACTCAAAGCAACTGTCACCCAACACCAAAGTCAGGATTTTCAATACAAGTGTCAAGACCATTCTACTGTATGGGGCGGAAACCTGGAGAACTACAAAAGCCATCATCTACAAGATAGAGGTGCTTATTGACAGTTGTTTACGCAAAAAACTTCAGATCCGTTGGCCGGACACTATCAATAACAACCTACTGTGGGAGAGAACAAACCAGATCCCAGCGGAGGAAGAAATTAGGAAGAAGCGCCGGAAGTGGATAAGACATACATTGAGGAAAGCACCCAACTGTGTCACAAGACAAGCCCTCACATAGAATCCTCAAGGTCAAAGGAAAAGAAGAAGACCAAAGAACACATTACGCCGGGAAATGGAGATAGACATGAGAAAAATGAACAAGAATTGGATGTGACTAGAAAAGAAGGCCCAGGACAGAGTGGGTTGGAGAATGCTGATCGGCGACCTGTGCTCCATAAAGCATAACAGGCGTAAGTAAGTAATACAATAAAAACTATTGTCAAATAGAATTCATATCCTGTTCTACAAGTCAGATAGTTATATGAACTTTGTAGGTCGGTGGATAACAACAATATGTTAAACGTTTAAAGTGAAAGGTACTGGATTCGAGACGAGATGTGAATATCAACACTTGGATGCAGATATATTCTTAAGTCTATTTGTTTTTGTAATATAGTATTCATTGAGCTAAATGATTTATTCGTGAAGCTTTGATTTTCCATTTTAAACTATATCACCAGAAGTGTAAATATGAGAGGAAAGTGAATTATTAAATATCCCCTTTCATGAATGATATGATTCTTTTCATACACATAAATAAATGATTATACAATACATAAAAAGTTTGACTGATGTTTAGTGGCCATATATATTTGACTTGAATGAGATCGGACAAATGATCGTTATTGAATGATTACTATTGATAATATACATATCACCAATTCTCGTATATAGTTATCGACTTAACTCGCGTTAGTGAATAAAGGAATTAAACAGGTCAAATACGACAAAAGATTTCGAATAAGTATATTTTATACAATCATTAATCTGGACAGACAATCAGAGGGACGAAGCGAATAGAAAAGAGCGAAATGAAACAACACACAGTGGATGAGTGTAAGCCAACTTCATTTGACGAAGCATTAATCGATATTTATAGTTATACAAAAACAAGTTGCAGCCATGTGATGAATAGGATAAGATGTGTACACACACATACACTCATATAAAAACAGTCAATGTTGATAAGTGAATAATTAAAAAAAGATCAAGACGTGACTCAAGAAGAATGAATAAATTGGCCTGTCCACCCATAAGCTGGAATAAGTTATATAGGTTTAACATTGCAACCGATATTACAGAGGATTAAAGAACTTGCTTTTCAATCCATTTGGTAATAGATTTAAACCCCGGAATCATCGATTTGGGATTGAACGCACGAGTGATGGTATGAACAAGCCACACAATTGTGGAATTAAGCCAAGTAAGTATTATCATTATTATTATTATTATTACTATTATTATTATTATCATTATTATTATTATTATTATTAATGGTTTTATTCAATATTGTGCTTGGTTAATGACATCCTATACGATCTGCGATGTTCCCAGAGAGTGGAAGGTCATAATTCATAAACATTATGTTATTATTTCATTTGCTGTCGAAGTAACACATTTACCGATTCATATACTCTCAACTTGGAGCAACAATTTAACTCTAAGTATTGTTTCAAACAATACGACAACCAACTAATCCCTGATAGTAATACTTGTGAACAACTAAAAAAAATCAGTAAATTTCATCGACAAAATTGAGGAAACTGATGTCAATCTTATAATCAGAGAAAACTAAACAAGCCTGATGAAGATCATTGTATCGATGTTAAGGTTGAGCACTTGAATAATAGACAAGTAAAACACTGGATTTACACTAATGACAATAATAATAATAATAATAATAATAATAATAATAATAATTCAAAGAGATGTATTGTGTAGACGAATAGCTTAAATCAATGACAACAATGTAATGAATAGGCAACCAATAATATACATAACATACACACTATACTTACTTTAACTCGTTTTTCAAATGGTATAACAAATGGAACTTTTTTCAATAATAAGACTTGACGTATTTGACGATTGGATAAAGAAAATGATTCTAGTACCACCGACATTTAAAAGAAAAACAGACAAACAAATCCGTATTAGAAATTATTTTGCTATAGAAACATTTTGAGATATACACAAAGAGTACTAGAAGTGTCATTCTATTGCTGAAAGGAATTGAGAGAATGCCTTTGTTTAATATACCTGGAGTCTTATGTTAGTTGGCTCTATTCAATAAGTTGTACCTGTAAACTTAAGGAAATCGATAATCCCTGTAGGATTCATACCCGCTTTATTCAATTTGAATGTCAGAAACATCTACATACTGAGAGCTAGATAGGTCACAATTGAATCTTTTTAAGGATTGAAAGTTGTTTGTACTAATTGGATATGGGTGATCATTACTCAGGACAAGCCAACTAACTAATTAATCAATGAGTTCACAAATAACTTAAGTTGGTGACAACTAATTACTGTAAAAAATCTTCTCAGATCACGCAGCGAGCGCTTAACAGGCCAACCACTGCACTGACACAAATGATTCACATTTATAATTTTAATCAGTTTAACTCTCTACATATCTAAACTCTAACAGTCACGACTTCTCACTAGAAAACTTCGAATTCAATCCTCAGTGGAATTCTGAATATGTACTGCTGAGGAATCCCATACTAGGACAAAACGGCTGTGCATTACTTACTGGTTTTCAATGATTTTTTTAACTAACTTCAGTCAATGATGCCTCTAATCAATATAATATGACAAATAAATGACACTACACCAACCTTGATTTCGATCTGGATTCAAAATACTATAATAACCAAACGGTGCACCAGCTAATGCCAATGTATTTTGATAACCTTGATTTTCAAACCATGAAGATTGTGATTCTGTAGTATTTAATAAATCAAATAAGTTATCTTTCAACCAAAATGTTTGACTAACACTTGGTGTGCCAAGTGGTAGACGTGGTGAATTGGTTACGCGTGCAATATCAGTTGATGAGGATGATGATGAAAATGTAGATGATGCATTTGTAGAAGCTGTTGTCGTTGTGGATTGTGGATTTTGTAAAAGGTAGATAGGCAGACTAGTATCTTGTTGACGTCGACAACGACGATCCCAATCATAGATTTGAAATACTAACCGTTCAACTCGACGCAGTAAACTACACCAACAATATAGTAAAAGACGAAAATCCGGTATCGACTGAAAGAAAAAAACAATAGTTTTATACATAAAGAATGAGAGAGTAATCAATTGTTAAATTCAGCTATACGCATAAATACATACACAGTTCTGCATAAATCTGGAGAAGTGGATTAGCGGTTAGGACGTTCAACTTTCAGCTACTAAGTTGTAGGTTCAAACATACCTCACTTACTTCGGTTTAACCAGCCGCTCAGTATTAGTAGCCCTCAAACTTAGAGCATGGATCAAGACCAAGTACATGTATTTGCGCCTGGTTGAAGAGCTAATAAATAAGTATGAATATTAAGGCAAATAACACAGCAAGTGGATATAATGTACTAGTTGAAAGTAGTCGAACAGAAACACTGCTCGATGCATGGTTTCGTACTTATCAGTAGGATTTGCCTACAATATTGAGGGAAGTGGTGCTGCCTGTAGGATTCAAACTCACGTTACTCGGGTTCACAATATAAGACATTGCTACGGAGCTATCCAGTCTCTTGTTAAGCGTTTTCGCTTTACATGACTTTCATTCACATATGTCCACATGTATATACACTAACAATAAATAGACGAGCTGAAGTTATAAAACACTTAGTTTGAAAAGTATACGGTACATCAAATTTCTCAATAGTGAAAATATTCTGAATACATGTTAATAAACTCTTTCTATATTCTTTTCCATTATTTAAAACATTCTTAAACGTCCCCGGAAGACAAGTTCTTCAGTTGTCTGGTTGTTTTATGTATTAATATCTACATAACGCTTTCGTGTCACTCGTATATGACCATTTCAGCTAGGAAGACTAAAAAGAAGCAGAAAACAGATAAGTTACGTGAGTAGAAAACGTCATATACTACGATGATCAATTTACGGAGAAGAAAAGTGAGTATAATTACTGGTGAATATACAGACCCATTAACATATATTTACAAGGAAATAATAAATTTCATGAATTAGGACTAGACAAGTTCAAGGTGGTGAGGATCTAATAATAATGCGATTGGCAGTTGTAATATTTAGGTCCATAATTAACGACTTTACCAGCTAAGTTAATCCAAATCTATATTTGGTAAATGAGTTATACTTTTAAGAGTTAGGAACACTATTGCTTGACTTGTGTATAATGCTCGTTGATAAACTCACAAGTGAACTTGTATGTGAAATGGTTTACAAAATATTTGTTAATGACAGTCCACGAAAATGTAATAGCAATGTATTATTATATTATTTAAGAAAATGTTTTACCCATTGTGTATAATTTCGCATCATTAGATCACCAATAGGTGAACTGCCAAGATCGGCTATTTCGACCCATTGTTCTATTCTACGTAATACTGCACCATAATTTGGTTGTTCCATTGATTCTGCACAATGTGTATCTGTTTGTAAATTGCAGCGAGTTTGTTTCGGCACTTGATCAGGATGTGACAAATCAATTAGGCCGAGCATAAGATCACGAAGTCTTGCACCAACTTGTAATAATTCATCAGCACGAAAACCACAACCTCCTCGTGAAGGTTCACCATTATTATTGATTGGTTGTTGATGACGATAATCGTTAGAGTTGGTGTAGTTCGCTTCCGATAAGATGTCACAGATTTCCGAATCAGTTAAACATAATAAGCGATGATGAAGACAATCAGCAAATGTAAATATCAGTGGAAGATAACTGTTTAAATAAACAAATAAATAGGTTATTTGAAGAGATTGGTTTAACCTACAGGTGTTGTTCATGACAGATTGATAATATTTGGAATGACATAAAATATCAGTGAAACACTGAACAGCAATTTTGTCCCAATGTAGAACACCTTGAAAGTGAGTACCCGAAACCGCACTAGGGATCGAACTCAGGAACTTCGGATCTCTCAGAGACAACCGTTGAAATAATTAAATCCAATAATATCATTCCAAGTTCCATCAAGTGCGGAATAGCGCGATGACCATTCATAGTCAATAGTGACAGCTGTTCCACTACCAACATGGATGATTGTTATGCTGTTCCAAGTCTACAGACGTGAAACGATACTAGTGGACACCAGCAAAGTGGTTCTAGTTGTTGGATGTTCAACGCCAGATCTGAAACTCCTGAATTAGATTCCCGGTGAAGTGTGTGAACTGTTAAGGAGATACACTAAGACGTACAGCTGTTTTGTAGCACTCCAAACTAGATCAATTTTCAACGATTACTACATGGATGATTGTTATGCTGTTCCGAGTCCACAGACGTGAAAACGGTAGTCTGCATCTACCAACATGGCTCATACCAGAAGTTAGTGACTTCAAGTAGTGAAGCCACGTTTTCGTTTGGCCACCCCTAACTTCCTTCCAACCATCCCAAACACTAGTCAGCATTGCACGTCGTGGTAATCGTAGTTCAGACATAAGTGACACGTGGCCCAACCATCTCAGACGATGAAGATTCATAATCCCACCACTTGATTTACCATCATCATTCCCTAATACCCTGCCCATAACCTTACTATTACTTACCCGATGATCCCAGCACATACGAGGTTACAACATTCTTTTCAACAATTCGTTTAGTTGTAAACCATATTGACAGAAGTCTAAATGCATTAACTAACTAACCTTTGAAGTTCCACTAAATGGTAGGTAATTCACCCGAGCATAAAATATTAAACAATGTAGACATATTGGTATTTGAATAATTTAATGTTGATTTATTTAAACATTTAGTATTTTCAATTAATTTCCATAAACAACGTAAATAGATTGTATACTGTGAATAAATTGAGTTAATGCTGAAAAGAATAAAGACAAAAGAAGAAGAAGAAGAAAGGTAAGAAGAAATGCAAATTAAAAAAGATAATTATTTATTAAATAAGTATTAAATATAGCATACCAATTAGTCAACAACGACAAAAAAACAAACGTAGAACCTAACATAAACATGTAGATCGGTTCAAGTTTTCCAACTAGATGAAGATAAATTACCAGGGTTGGAGAAATAGTTATTGATTTACACATATAAATATTAGTACAATGAGGCACCAAATACGTATGCGCCACACAAGTCACTTGATTTGTGTGAGGGTTGTGATACTGCTCGGGTGACCAAACTGAAGCAGGTGGTTTTCTTAGAGAGCAACACCCCGAGCCTCCGACCTGAAGTCTGATCCATAAAACAGTGGAGCAACGTCAGGGGATGCAATCCCATGGTAGTCGGTGACCAACAATAGGTTCATACACCATTTGTTCATTCAGGATACTGGAGCCCATGTGCACCACTGGTTCGGAATCAGGATTTTCCGACTCCCATAGGTGTGGACACACATACATAGGGAGGAGTAATCGAACAATGCACTCAAGGGTCAATGAACTTCTATTTAATTGACCTTTATTAATTTTCATATAAAAATGCCTTGACAAGTATATGTGTAACCAGATTGTTCGAAATGTATAGCGCAAATACATCACATTTTTCAGATAAACTCCGTCTTCTCATTGTTCTATCGAAGCCCGGTTAGTGCTGAACATTCGTTTTTTGTTCTCTCGATTTCGTTAGTAAACCCTCTGCCGTCAGAAAACAGTGAGTAGGACTTCTCTGGCAGTGATTATATGCACATGACCATGTGAGAGCATTTCGAGAGGGAGAGCTGACTCTCCCGACTCTCGGCCGTACCAGGGTATTTGAGGGCTGGAGAATTAGTGACATTATCCATTAATGGTCATAGAAACGATTAGGTATAAATAATGTGATTGAATAAGAAAGGGTAAGATAAATTTGTGCAGTGAAAATTAAAAGTATTTTGAAATAAAAAACATCTGTGAAATTGTGAATAATTCTGAGATATGTCACTTAACGATCATATCATGGATCCCAACTAGGTAGTTTGTACCTAACAGCACAGATTAGTTTAATAATCAAGAAATTTACGAACTGATGCTAAATTTTCATGTGCGGCTGCACGTAGCTTTCTTAAAACCTATTCCTATACGAGTGGACATTGTGTGTCGATGTAGGTCTCAGGTACCTATATTGATGAAAATTCAGAAACTAATCAACTGATTTGCTACTTTATATCTCGTACCCTATGTACAATCTCAACATTACTCACTTCACGGTCCTAATACACGTTTCAAAAGGGTGGATGATTAAATACTAGTAACCTGGGAATATTTAGCTGCAGAGGTCATGTGAGAAATACAGTACAGAGACAAATGACATCGAAAAATGAAAAGTTAAAACTGACATAGAATATGTAGAGCACCTTTTATTGATTAAGAGTAGTTCTGATGAAACTAAATCATCGAACCTAATCAGTTCAGTAGCCTGATTACAAATTGTCAATATGATTGTGCAATCAATACGTTGTAATAATGATTCTAAGTGAACGGAATATAAATACCTGAATATATGAGTCTAAAATGAGTACAAAATATCAATCAAATGATTTTACATACCGTATTAATGATGTCCTAGACAGACCACATACTTGAGAAAGGCAATAATGTAGATACGATGAAGAACGAATTAATTCCAATTTATCTGGATTATCCAAATCACTATTGAAGTTTTCCAGTGTAGACAATGAGCTAGCTGCTAGCGCCGGTAAACTATGACTTAGTGACGCAGAGATTTTTGTCAGTTGAGAAGCCTAAAAACAAAAACAAAGAAAGTCAATCAATGTTTACCTATAAACCTCCTTCATTCGTCTTTATAATACAGTATAGACAAACTCTTGAATTCTAATTGCCTATTAGCTAATTTGACAATTATCCATTAGAATCTGAGTCAGGAACTATAACTATAAAATCTTAATCAAAGAGGATGATATATACATAAAATACCTTTTGAGTATGCAAGTGTTCAACTGGGGAATAAATATTTCAATGGTTGAGATCATGAGTTAATTGAAGCTAGACCACCATGGAAAACCTGAAAGCACTGGGTCTGTTGTGAAATAGTAACTCACTGAAGACATTAGTGGATATGTCGTTCAATTTCGTGGATTGGTTGAGGTTAGACATGAACACTATTGGATGCTGGCCGGCTCAGTGGTCTAGTGGTTCAGCGCTCGCATGGCGAGGTCGTGGACGTGCACTGCTGAGGAGTCCCATAATAGGACCAAACGACCGTCCAGTGCTTTAAAATTTTCCATGGTGGTCTAATTTCAATTGACTCATGATCTCAACCATTGAAATTATTATAATATCCGCAAAACCCCTCTGATATGAATAAATAATTATTTAACTGAGATATGATGTAATAATCCCACTTACAGTTAAGCTTAGCAGTTAGACCTCTTTAATTAATATCAGTCAATTATCACTGTAGAAAAATGTTACTTTTAATACATAACTAATTTTAAGGCAACAAATTAAATTATCAGAAGGGGTTTGTGGAGATTTTAGAAATTTTCACAGATTAAATTCACAAATCACAGATATTCTTTGTGTATTATGTACGCAATGAGCTTCACTAAATAATGCAATGGTTAGTGATGATAACTGACTGGTTGAACTATGATAAACAAAGAGAGATTTGAAATAACAACCTGTTAGATGGGCGACTCGATGACAAGTACCCGTGAGATTTATGTGCATATCAATAAACATTGAATAGTGGTTAATAGTGAGATGAATAACATATGTTTCGTCTAATTTGGAACTTATGATGTAGTTATATATCTTCATGGTATAAATCACATTCTAAATGTGAGGGCTTATGATACTACGCGGTTGACCAAACCGAAGTAAGAAGAGCAGGTTTCGAATCCAATGACTTAAAGGGCAGAAGTCGAGGACCCTAACCACTAAGCCACCGTCTCACATGACCTCTTATTATTAGTACTAAGGCTTCAGGTTTTCCCATCGTTAATATTTAATAATGAATTTGGTTAGCCTCTTCTATATTGGTATATGGATCAAATTAATAGATGCCTTGATATTTATTATATTAGCTGTGTTTATAAATTGGTAGTATTTAGAAGAGAGGTTGGACTATAGTAGGTTAAATTCAAAGTGAATTGCAAAACTTAGTATTTGGTTATTGATGAATGGAATCGCCAAAATTTGACGTTTAACAGGTAGGTAGGTGTTTTTATCCATAAATTGACTACTTTAAAGTAAAATTTTTCATTGAACTCATATAGATTAAAATGTATTCCTCAAAAACTATAAAATAAGTTTATTTTTTAGGAATGATACAATGAATATGAGTCGTTTAATCTGTATGGTGTATTTATCATTGCCGACCAGAGTACCTAACCTGTTAGATACTATCTATTAGTGTTCTTGTGACATTTTAGGCCTCTAGATCTACTAAAAGTAATGTAACAATATGGTACTACCGCTGTGATAGGTTCGAACCCCGCTCCGCATAAATTGGTCTTACCATCAAAATAGTATCAATGGTTCTTACACATAAATAGCGTGACTCAAAGCCGAGAATACAAAACTAAATTTGGTAAATGTTTTTAGAAAAATTCACGAAACTCTCATAGTATTCCTAAGCAATATATGCACCACACAAGTCATTTGATTTATGTGAGAGCTGTGATACTGTCCGTGTGCCCAACCCGGTTAAAGTGCCGGACACTAGCTTTTTTTTCTTAATTTCGTAAAGAACAACCGTGCCGCGAGACGGCAGTGGTCGTATGCATGTGGCCATGTAAGAGCATTTCGAGGGGGAGATTGGAATCTCCCCACTCTCGGCTGTACCGGAGCATTTGAATTTACTTATATTGGTACAAGGAGGCACCAAATAGATATGAGCCACATAAATCAATCGATCTGTGTGAGGGCTGGGATACTGCCCGAGTGCCCAAACTGAAGCATTTTAATTAGTCAAAAATATAAATAACTATCCACTTTTTTCGACGCATCTTAAGTATGAACTGACTGCAGTCTCAATTAAATCATTCAACAAAATTAAAGAGAATACAACTATATAACCAAAACTTCAAAGACAAAAACACACATTTTCGACAAAAGCGAAACAAAGATAAGAAATATACCCATACTGGTTGAAACGAGACAGCCTCTGAAATAAGACTACAGTTATTAGTACTTCTAGTAAATTCAGCTGACATGTTCATTTCCTGATCATTGATTTCCACTCCCTTCATTCTATTATGATTATCATTAATCTTGTTGTCGTCATCATCACCATCGTCATCATCTGATAATTCTTCTCCTTGTCCAATTCGTAGTTGTAACGGTTTAGGATCAGTAATTGGACGAACAATAGGCAGATGAGGTTCCGTTAAACAACTCATAAGTATCCGAGCAACAAAACGTATCGTTATCGCAGCTTCTAAAGGTGAACCAGACCATGTATAATGTGTGTAAGATTCAGTAGCTAACAGAACTGGCAATGATTCGTCACCTCCTTCTTCCTCTGTCACTGCTTCTTCGTGATTATCATCGTCATCAGTATCTTGTATCATTGATGACTCGGTTGTATGGACAGTTGAACTTGATGTGGTTGTGGTTGGATCACATTTTACTAACATGCCAGGTATAGCCACAGTCACAAAAAGGTGTAATAAATCTGTTTTAACAATAAAAATCAATGCATGGATTTAAAAACAGTTTTGGGACATTTACTTTCATCAAATACTTCATTCGATCAGTAATTCATACTCAACCTAGAGCCTGGTACATCTATCAGTCGTTTCAAGTTGCCACACCCCGTTAGCACAGATGAGATATACATTCGTGCACTTGGCACTGGTTACACTCTACGTGTGAGAGACAGAGTGATACCACTACCTGGTTGACCGGACCACAGTAAATGGAGCTATCTTAAAACCTATGATTTGGCGGCTAAAAGTCAGACTTCACTCATTGAGCCACCCACTACTCCACAAAGCGGTATGTGAGGAGTCGAACCCGGTAGCTCGAAAAGCAGACGATTAGTCATTTGATCGCAAACAACAGCCGACCTCTAAAAGCACAAAATTTAAGTACAAGTATTTTGTGGTTGCAAGAATTTAAGTGAGACTACAAATATATGTGCCCTATGAGTGGGAAAAGTTATACTAATACATACAGAAAAACTTCACAACATAACCTTACTACTCACTACAAAGAATTAGATGGAAAGATTAGGAGTAGTATGTTTACATGGAAGATAAAATAATTTAGGTCAATAATATAGCATAACTGAATACGAGTAGGTGGAGAGAATGAATAAACACATTTGGTGTGAAATAGATTGGAATCAACTTTCGATTCTTCTTGATAACATTCAACAACAATCTAAGGTTACCTAGAACTGTGGTCCGCTTCATTTTTCGGCATCGTCACCGTCCACTGTCCATAATTATTGCGTAGACTGTCTCAGTATCTTTCGCTGCTAGCTATATTCGTATCATGCTGGGTGAAACATATTTTATTTATGTGTCAGGATACATCGGAATGAAAGTTTTCTTCAAATTCCACTGAGTAAACAATTATTTCTTCTGGAAAATCACTATAGCTTTATTTGATTATATCCCTAAATTTTCCAGCGCCACTACAACGCAAAAGCACGTGCTTGATTCGAAGTACAGTTGCATTCCAAGCATATACTTTAGAATCATCAGTGACTTAACTGATCCCTTCTACTGATAACTGATTGAAAGAAAGTCGATAAAAAAAGTATCCAACGTAGAGTTCATATTGACGATTACCAGATTATTAGAAAACTCACTTGAAATCTTTACAAGAGTCACTGATTGTCAGAGCGTAGTTGAACCGAACGATCACTCATATCTACTTACTAGAACTCATAAGCCGTATCTAAATGTGGTTCTGAGTAAACTAATCAGTATAATCAGTCATCACTCTTGTCAGATATGATAAATCTGAAATGGTTGTACAGTTTTAAAGGATAATAACCATTTATTTCGATAAAAGACTACAAACATTTTACGGGGCGTAACTCCAGTACCTTTCACTTCATAGACTACTATCAGCTGAGAAATAGTTGAGAAGTGCAAACCCTCCCTTTCGAACCCAAAGTAATACCTTTACGTATGAGACTACAGAAGTTGCAGTCACATATTTAATTACTTGAAGTATGAATAATGTGGCTTGTAGGAACACCCAACTCATGCATTGTATAAAATGTCAGAGCTTTATCTAGTGGTACTTGTCTGGTTTTAAAGTAGGTTAACTCATTATTATTATTATTAATTAGCGTGATCATTTTTGCTTTCTGATTGATTTTGTTGTCCCCTTTAATTTGAAAAGTTTCCTATGTCCCAAGGTTTTGTTGCCATATATACAGAATTGTTCTACTTATGTTCGGAATATTCTGAAAGGTCGATCCTCTTTATTGCTTATTAACTTGTGGATTATTAACGTCAAAGTATTGTCATATATCAGTGGATGCATGATAGAGTTAGCATTATTTTACGTTCACACTAGAAGAGATCTTAAAAAGTTTTTGATTAGAAATTACCTTAGATCCAAATGAATTAAATCCCAAATCGTAGATAATAACAACTGGGTTACAAAAATAGAAGCCCCAACATATAGTTTAGGACATAGTGTTAAGAAATCTAAGAGCAAGGAACATGATAATTAATGAATTATAGAGTGATGAATTACAGAGCTATTGAAAAAGGGCGAAGACTATACATCAATCCAACAGCTAGTTATGCAAACAAAGACATGTATAAAATAACATTTACAAGTGATGCTAATTCTTGATAGCAAACAAAAAGTATTTACATATGAGGATTATTGTGGAAACGAAACATATAAATGTTACAACGTACTTACTGATAGAAGGAATCAATGAAATAGTTCCATTATGTGGTCGTTGTTCAGTGTTTAATTGGTTATTTTCATTCTCAACCGCTGTTAAACATCCATGAATAACAATTTGATGTAGATTAGGTAGTTTGAACATTTCCATACCAACACTGAGTATAACACGTTCACCGATAATATAAGTATTGTGATCATCAATAGTTGATATGAGAATATCATTTAATGCTGTGAAAACAAGTTCACGATACAAATCGACCATTGGATTCTACATAAATAGAAGAAAAAAATGGAAAATACAATAGGACTGTAAGATTTGTGAAGTTCACTTAGCCGACAAGTGAAATTATATGCATAGAACAAAATTCCTTTTCTTTGTATTGAATATCACAGGATAATATTAGTGGAATCCACTTGGGAGTCATTAATCATCTGAAGATACTTTATATACCTAAGCAAGTATTACTTATACTGTAGGGAAGGAGAACACGAGTGGGGACAATCGAATGTATTCAGCACAACAATTACAGACTATCTCAATAAGGTCTGAATACTATATAGTAAATTGTCAATTTGCAAAATATTCATGCATCAAACCAAACTGGACTGTTTCTGTTGCAAACACCAATCCATTGTCTCCCATTCCATTGTTCATGCGTTTTCTTACAAATTCCATTGTGTTCTCGCTCTTCCTTTCTTCATCTTGCCCATTTTCTGCTGCCAGACATCACGTTCTTTTAACTCACGTTATATACTACTCATATCAATATAAGTAGCTCACACCACAATACTACTACTAGTAGTAGAGCTCTGCTTCTTTTATTTTCATGTTACCTTGTTGAGAATGTGACATTTTCAAATATAAAGTATGAAGGAAAAAAATCAATCTTAACATTTACCAAATCTACATATAATCGAATACATTTCAATGTGATTCGATTCTTCTAAGATCTCTATACAAACTTGTACTTTTTACTCTAGTCAACGTGTAGAAGAGAAGAGAATATAAACAATTTTCTTCATTGTAAAGAAATCAGAGTTGTAAATAACAAGCTAAGAGTATAAGCGTATCACAGTTGGCACTTACCAACACAGTGTATCTATTATCTTGAATAATTTCATGTAATTGGTTCCTTTGAAAAACTTTCTGAAGTCAACAATGATATATTTGTAAGATATCGTGAATTCGTTTAAATTTTGTGAGCTCCATATCTCTCATACGCGAGTACTTGTATCTTTGCATGCTGTTACGGGTATGAAGGCTGGTGTCACTTCCCGGCTGCTCAAACCGTGGAAGGGTATTTCTTGAAAAACCTGAAAAGGAAGTTGGATTAATGTTGGTCTTAACGACCTGGGAGCGTGACCGCAGAGCCCAAGGGCCAACTGCTTGGGGCCGGTCGAGCACGGCCTTTTTGTGGGAGGCTTTTGGTGTGTTAGCTCCGTTCTTCAAAGGACCTTACCACCGGAGACGGAAATCCGTGAGGTAAGATGAGGTATGACATTTTTAGGGTCGACCTTTTCTAACCCCTTCCTTCCTTGTGAGGAGGCAGCATCGCTGCAGATGCTGGTTGTCCGAGGGAAACACCTTACTGCTGTCACACCCCTCTACAGTCAGCAGAACGACTTCGTCCTCAGACCTTGAGTTGCTGCTTTTGGTCTTACCGTTCTCCAATCGACCTGCCTGACATGGTAAAACCTACAGGAACATATGTTCCAGCAAATATAGCTCGGTTGGGTCATCACGATAGGCAAGCCCGACCACCGCGTCAAGGTAGCAGCTAAGGTTGGATAATCCTTATCCAATCAGCGCTAGTCGATACTTGAAGAACACTCTAGAAACTTCTCGTGTAAAAACTATAAACATACTAACGTTTTTCTTATTGTGCTTCTTACTTCCATCTACCCTTGCTATTTGGAATATAATTTCTTTCCTGTCCAACCGTGTTCTGATTTGTGGACTTGTCGAGTGAATTGATGTCTAAGAATACTAAGCAATAGGATAGCTGGGTTGCAATAAGAGAGAATTATAACACCAACTATCACTAAACGTGTACTTTTTTCATTGTAAATAAACAGTCTATATATAACAAGTATAACTGTGAGATAAACATCTAACTACACAGTCGATTACTAATAATTTATTGCCCTTCAATAATAAAACGATAATTAAGATATGATCATAAACAACATGAAGGCATCTAGGAAAACTGAGAATGTTTGGCGACTCTCTGTTCAATTATCATTGTCTCTGAAAGTTTACTAGCATCCATTAACAACATTATATTAGTGATGTGGGAGATGTAACAAAGTGTTGGGTCACCGTGACGATAAGTTCACAGATTTTGCTATTTGGAAAAACACTAGCTTCAGTGGTTTGCATGTGTCAAGAATGTCATCTTAATGAATTTCACATAATGCAATAATTGTCGACACTGGGACTGGGTGGAAAAAGTAGCGGAGTGATCAACTTATAATATGGTGCTGTGGCACAAAAGAAAGCTTTACAATACTGGCAACTGTCGTTCCATTACGACTACCTGGTTGAGGTCGTTTTAAAGATGGCATTACTGAAGGGATTGAGGTGTCATTAAAGATGACTCAGAATATAAGCCAGTAGCTGTCATATGATTTACTTAAGGATTCTTCATAAAAGTGAGGACTTCCTTAACTGAAAGAAATCAGTCAGCTACAACGTAGCACCAGGCACATGTATACATCGGTCCAAGTTGCCATACCTCATAAGCACAACAACGAATTCATAGAAACAGTTACTTCAGTGGTAGTGATATATAAAAAGATTGTATATAAGAATATGATACAAAGAGAAAGAGTTAATTTGCAGAAAGAAATGTATAAAGTAATTTTAATCTCACAGTTTAAAGGAAGACAAAGAGTGTACACACCTACACCATTGTAATCGATTCTGAGCCATGTCACCCAGAATCTCCAACCATTGATTACGATAGTCGCGCGGACCCCAACCAACTAGTCTGCATCTCCCAACATGGCTCAGACAAGAAGTTAATGACTTTATGGACAATGCTACGTTTTGGTTTTGTCTCCCCTAACTAACTGAAAGAAGTCCTTCTTGGTTGTATTTTTTAAACTAAACTCTATCTCCCTATTGTTTTTTTTTCACTACACTTCCCTTTCCTGCTTTACCTTTTTCCTTTTACTTTGAGTAGTGCATACTTAGTTTTAGTATCAAATTGTATCAGATTTTAAGCGTATTACGTAAAATAGAATATTCAATCATCAATCAGTATACATATATGTCATTGAAAGAACAACAAAAGAATTATCACTTACAGAAAATGGACTATCATTATCCGATAAGTTAAAAGCACATTTCAACGGTGCAATTATTAGATTAATAAAAGAACGAGTTTTTGGTAATTTGAAAAATTCCACAGGATCAAATACTTGTGATTGGGTAGTGAAATCTTTAAGGTAACCACCAGTTGTAGTTGGTAATTGTTGATCCATAAAATAAGCCAAATGATTAAAATAATGATGTTTTGATAAATGTCGACAAATCCATTCAATACTGAAGTACAGTTGTTTTGAATATAAAGAGATTTTTGTAGATGAACAAGTTCCGATTAAAATGTTGAATAATTCCTCTAATACACGAATCGGTAATGTATAGTTTGATGATGTTGTTAATGATGGAAGTTTGGTTAAATATCTGTAGGGGAAAAAATGAAATAATAAAAGGGATTTCAGTGTTTTACAGCAGCGAAATTAAATCATGTAAACTGATTTGTATATGGCCCCCAAATGCTCTGGTGCGGCCGAGAGTGAGGAGAGTCAGTTCTCTCTCTCCAAATGCTCTTACATGGCCACGTGCATACAACCACTACCAGAGAAGTCCTACTCACTGCCTTCTCGTGGTGTGGGTGTTGTTTAAGAAATTGAGAGGACGAAAAGTGAATGTCCGGAGCGTTAACCGGGTTGGTGGACATGGAGAGTCCACCTAGCGGAGTTGGAAAACCCTGATTCCAAACCAATGGTGCACATGGGCTCCAGTATCCTGAAGGAACAAATGGCGTATGAACCAATCATTGGTCACCGGCTACCATGTGACTACATCTCCTTACGTTGCTTCACTGCGTTGTGAATCAGACCTTTAGGTCGAAGGCTCAGAGTGTGACCCACTAAGAAAACCACCTGCTTCGGTTTGGGCACCCGAGGAGTATCACAGCCCTCATACAAATCAAATGAGATTTGTGTGGCGCATATGTATTTGGTGCCTCCTTGTACCAATATCTATATGTTCAAATAAATAAATAATAAATAAATGTTTGTATATTAGAAAACTGTATAGGATGAGAAGGATTGTTTATTATGGTTTCTGAGCTGTATATGTGTAAAACAGAATATAGACTTTGGATGGTGTTTAGGAATAAAATCCTGGAGCTGAGTTTTGTCCCATTTGGGAATCGTCAGATGAATGTAACAATATCCCCGTATTTATGTTGCCACTGAGACTTGGACCCAGTACCTGTCTCTTCAAATGTTAGTGTATTTTCGACTAAACCACTGAATGCAAATAGCGTGTACCTTTCTTACATGTAAGGGTTTTTATCATCCAATTGTTGATATTAGATGGTGATTGGAGGTAGTCGACAGGAAACGCTGGACCGATAGCATTCGATCTGCATGACATTGATCGCCACCGAGTGATCAATCAATTGTGAATTGTTGATATTCGAAACTACATCTAACCAATCTCTATTAAGATACATGCATTGTGGTGCGGACTAAACTATAAATAAAAATTGGCTAGTAGTGAAAAGTAGGGCAACATGAAATTGAATTTCAGAATTTCTTGCGAGAGATCTAGACAAAAGTATGTAAAGAAACCTTGAGAAAACATAATCAAAAACCCTTTTTAAAGATTCAATGTACGAAAGTATTCCTGAAAATCCTGGGAATTTTATTCAGTCAGTCAGTCAGCTACAACGTAGGACCAGGCACATATATGCATCGGTCCAAGTTGCCATACCTCATTAACACAACAAGATTCATGAAAGTAGTTAATTCGGAGGTGGTAATATACAAAGAAAGATTGCGATAAGGATATAGTACAGAAAGAAAGAATTAGTTCGTCGAAAGATATGAAACAATTTTAATCTCTTAGTTTAAGGGGAGATAGAGAGTGTATACACCGACGCCATTGTGATCGATTCTGAGCCATGTCACCAAGAGTCTCCAACCATTGGTTACGATAGTCACGCGGACCTTAACCAAGTAGTCTGCATCTACCAACATGGCTCACACCAGAAGTTAGTGACTTCAAGCACTGATACCAACATGGCTCAAACTAGATGGAGTTTTGTTCTCTGAGCTGGATAGCTTGGTCTTGGAGTTATTTCATTTAATTCAAAGCTTGTAAAACAATGATATTTAATTTTGTCCCTAGTCTATTCTACATATCCATAAGCTTTCGTTTGATGTATGATTCACTGTCATAGCCCTTTGTGTTCCAAAGCTGTCGTAATTTAAACGTATTATTTTGTACTCTATTTTCTAAGCTAATCTCCAGTTTTGGACATAATTGTCTTTTCATAATTATTGTACGTTGTGGTCGGGTTAGTTATCTGTTTATTCATGCATGTTTTTACACTGATCTGAAAACTGGAACCAGATTGGAATTGGAAATAAATCGTTTCGTGTTCCAGTTGACTTGTCTTCTCTCATTCGCGTGCTTGTCAGCCAATCAGGTGATGGAATAGTTTCCTTCTCTCTAACCCACTTCGAACTCACGCGCACTAGCCTCAAGGTTAAGCCGGTCAGCCTATCGCGTCAGGGTCTTAATCTGGATTAGACAAGTTATCCTCAGCACAAAAATGGGTAGACAGATCGAGGACGTAACAAACGTAAAAACAAGAAAGCGTCATGGAAACTTACTTGATGTTGATTAATAACGAATTCCCTAGCGTGAAAATATGGTCAACAGAACCATTAGTTAACCAGTTGACTTGTGCATCTTTTCCATGTTTGGACAATAATAAACGACAAACAGTAAACTATGGTATCAATACAGAGAAAAAAACAAAATTATTTTATAAATGCCAGAAATATACAATTTGATCGTTGAGGTCATGAGTCAATTGAAGTTAGACCATTATGGAAAACCTGGAAGCACTGGACGGCCGTTTCGTCATATTGTGGGACTCTTCAGTAGTGTGCATCTACAATCTCGCCTCGCGAGTGCTTAGCCATTAGACCACTGAGCCGGCCAGGATCCAACAGTGTTAATGTCTAACTTCAACTAATCCACGAAATTCAGGGACACATCCACCATTGTCTTCAATGAGTTACTATCTAATAACAGACATGGTTGAAATCCACTGGTCACTGTTTCTCACTAGAACTCCAGGAAATACGTCTTGGAGACCGTCACTAGTGAGCATATATTGATTAATATCAGAAGGGGTTTTGTGGATATTATAGTAATTTTAATAATTGAGAAGAAATATATATTTGAGAAATAAAATGTATCAATGAGAAATTAATACAGTGGTAACTCAATTGAGCACATACTATTGAAGTGCTCCAGACTAGGACGAAATAGATATCTTTCCTGTCTTCGAACCAATTGTAAATATTACAATATTTTTGTCGCATATTCATGTAATACATAAATTCAAATGTGGCAGTCTCTTGCTCTTAAACAAAAAAAGGTAGAATGAGAGTAAATTAACCACCATGGTAGTTCCCTTTGAATTTTGTCAGTAATAAACGAAGTCATAAGTCACATACATACATACGGTTAGCAGACGTAATTTTTCACTTAGAATAAATCTGAAACAGCAAAATCCATTGCTTTATGTCCACAGTTGAAAAGTAGGTGGTCAGTGGGGTTTCAGCAGGTTTCCTTGTTTCTTCTTATTTGGAACTGATTATTGTAGGAGGCATCAGTATCTACTTTGGAATGGTTTACCGAAGATTGAAGTCAATGATTTACTGGATTAAGGGGTATTCATTAAGTTAGTTTCGTAGATTATGGTGTCGACTATGGTTAATAGTTTGTTGTAGTGTTGTCAGACTATCATATCATGGTGACTCAATCGATGTATATTGGCTGGAAAATTAGTTCCTATAGGATTTATCATGCCAGGCTAGTCGGCTGAAGAGCGATAATGTTAAAAGTAGCAAACCTAAGAATTGAAAAAGTTATAATACTAACTTTACTGAGGTGTGACGGTATCAGGATGTTTCCTTCAAACAAACAGCGATCAGTCAGTCACAACATAGAACTTTTACTTAAGTACGCCGGTTCAAGTTGTCATACCCTATCATCACAGTATGTGAACCAATATTTCCTTCCAAAAAGGGGTTTTATTTATTATTTATTTGAACACATAAATACTGGTACAAGAGGGCACCAAATATATATGCGCTATACAAAACAATGAGAATGGGAAGAGAAAAAAGGAGATAAGGAGCGTAAAGGAAAAAAGACAGTAACAACCAGATTGGTGTAAGGTAGTGTAATAATAATAATAATAATAATAATAATAATAATAATAATAATGGGGAAACGGAAAGACACAACCAGAAGAAGTCTTTCAGTTAAGGAAGATACAACCACTTTTTATGGGGAAAGTAAAAGAAGGTTACAGCAGAATCGCCACTGGCTTCTATTCTGAGCCATATCTGATAACACCTCAAGCCACTGTGTCGCACCATCTCTCGGACCCCTCCAAAAAGGGAGGATGAACTTACGAGATTTATACCTCGAAAGTGGCAGACTACACCTTGTCCCATGGCTAAACCTTTAACCAACAACTACTTGCTAAAAGGTAGTGTGTGACCGGCCTCAGACGGTTGTCTTGTACTCTACAGACACGCTCAAAAGCTGTCAATATCATTACTAATTCAGTCTCCTTTTAGGATTTTTCAAGAAGTATTCTTACACGATATGGCCAGCCGAGAAGTGACAACCTTCATTACACCTCTAACAGCAATTTGGTGGATTATAGTGGCTTACTGTTCAACGTAATTAACTTCCAACCATTATGGTTCAGGCTTCCATTTTAATGAATCTACTTCAGTTTAAGGATCCAAATTAGTACTATTGGTCCTCACAGAAAAGTGTATTTCAAAGCTGAGTAACATAATTCCATACTTTATTACTTGAGTTGCATTCATGAAAAAAGGTGAATTGTAAACAGAATGGAATATAAACAGCCTTTCGGTCCATATTTGACTTTTTTATACAAACAACAACAAAAAAACAAACATACATTCCAACTTACAAGATGTTTTTGTTCCGGACTTTTATTACGATAGCATGTATTGAAACATTGAAGTAACTTCAATAATTTATGTTCAAATTCATGCTCCTCATTGAAACCAGTTTTATTTATTATATCATCTAATTGTTTAGATAATTCATTCAATAATCCAATAAAGTAACGTTTCTAGAAAATTAAAAGAATGTTCATCAGAGAGAGAGACAAACGGAAGAACAAGAACGATGGAACCAAGTAAATATGTTTATAATAAAGTAACACTAGTCATTAAATTGATATCTACATGTTATAACTTGTAGCTTGAGTGCCCTGTTAATGTATAACGTAATGATATCGCCAATTAGAGAACAGTAATTTGTCGATTAGACCAATGACGCGTAAAACCCATACGAGCAGTCTAGAGTCCTTATCGGTCCTGCTTCCGGTCTAGCCCCACCAGTTGAATCCAGAACATCAATCTCAGCCTCTGTGATATGAACCATGTATTTCATATATACTGGGTTTATATAGAAACCATACAGACCACATCGTACCATAAAATAGGAAACAACATTTGCAGAAGATCTATGGCAACTCGAAATGATGTATGTAAGTCGGAAGTTCTACGGTGTTACCGACTGACAGTATTATATACATCAACAAAATGCAAATGATTGGTTAGGTTTAGAAATCTTACCATTTTATTTCGTGCAACATAATCTCGAAGACATTTTTGAATTTTAGTAGCGGCACGTTCTTGTTTGACCATATTCTAATCAAATATACAGAGAAAATGATAGAATTGTGAAATAACACACTTTATTTCATTAACAATATAATGTGTTACTTTGATGAAAAACAAACTATATCAAACAATTTTTGTAAGCAATGGTGGATAGTGGCTAGCAGTGGAATCCAGGACGTGCGTTTCGTCCTACTTGAGACTCATCAGCTGGATGTACTTGCATCTGAGTTGATGTTCATTCTGGGACTCGAACCCAGTACCACTCGCTTCAAACGCCATCGCGTTATCCACTCAGCTACTGAGTCCTGATAGCCACTTGCTTGTGCAATGGGGTGAATTTAAATTCACTTGGTAATGTTTTACATGAATCTTCCCATTGAGGTTATAGACTGCAATTGATCAGTCTGTTATTGGCATATATGCATACTGTACGTATGCCTCGATATTGCCTTAATTCGCAAGCTTTTTGTAAGCAATGATGGATAGTGGCGATAGAACGAAACGCGCGTCCTGGATTCCACTGCTAGCCACTACCTATCTTTGTTTTTAAAAGCTTGTGATTTAATGCAATGTCGAGGCATACGCACAGTATGCACGTATGCCAATAAAAGACGGGTCAATTGCAGTCTTAAACCTCAATGGGAAGATACAAGCCAAACGACACAAAGTGAATTTATATCAAACAATATTTGTGAGAAGACAAGTTTAATACTACTATATAGTTCTTACTTTCATCGTATTTATATCTCATTCACCACAAGTATTGTTGTACTGTAGTAAACGAGAACATAAGTGAGGGGACAATCGAATGTATTTCAACACAAATTTACAGAACATCTTAGTAAAACCTGAGAATCGTACGCTAAAAATAATTCATTTTTGCAACATGTTAATCAATCATCTCAGGTTTCATTGTTCTTTCGTTTCCACATCAATCATTCTTTGTACTCGTTCTCTTTTTTTCGATCGTCTTAACCTTCTGCCTACAGATATTTCACTTCCCATTGACGATACATACTACTCATATCAGTCGATATCAGTAGCACACACCGCAGTACTCAAAATCAATAAAGCCCCAAATGCCCTGGTATGGCCGAGAGTGGGGTGGGTTCGCCCGCCCTCTCGAAATACTCTCACACGGCCACGCGTATACAGCCCCTGCCAGGGAAGTCCTACTCATTGCCTTCTCACACCAGGGGTGTTGTTTACGAAAATGAGAGGACGAGAAGCGAATATCCGGCGCTTTAACCGGATTCCAAACCAATGGTGCACATGAGCTCCAGTATCCTGAGGGAACAAATGGCGTATGAACCAATCGTTGGTCACCGGCTACCATGTGACTGCATCTCCTCACGACGCTTCACTGCCTTGTGGGTTAGACCATTAGGTCAAAGGCTCGGGGTGTGGTTGCCTAAGATAACCACCTGCTTCGGTCTGGGCACCCGGGCAGTATCGCATCACACACACAATTAATGAACTGAACTGTCTATGATCATGGAAACTAATTCTCTTGCTTCGACGAACATTCAAATGATTCAATTATTATTATTGCTATTATTATTATTATTATTATTATTATTATTATTATTATTATTATTATTATTATTATTTACTACGTCATTATTCACCCTCTTTTATTCCCACTCTATCTATACTTATTTTTTCGACTTATACAGCAGCTCGTCTATGGTGGAAATTCGACTGTATCTAAACGTTCTCGAGTCACTGTCCGGTTGAAAATTGTATGTTACCACCGAATACGAGGACTGAAGCAGTTTTTCTGAAACCACGTGCACCATTCAAACTGGCTGCCTTCAACGTTCGCACATTTATGCAGGTCGGACAACAGATAGGGCTGGCTATGTCTTTGGAAAGTCTTAATATCGATGTTTGTTGTCTATCCGAGACCCGTATTCAAGACTCTGGCGAAGTACTACAAATTCGATCTCCATCTGTCGCTTCGAAAAGCTTGTTTTACGTGCGCTTATCCGGGGACCCTGTGGCATCTTCGTCTGGTCTTGCTGGCGTTGGTGTCGCACTAAGCGCTAGAGCTGAGGCAGCACTAGTCGATTGGATCCCCATTAACAGTCGGTTATGTGCTGTTAGATTAGAAAGTTCCATCAAAGTGAGAAGAAATCGGCGTGAGAAACGATGTCTTTTCGTCATCTCCGCCTATGCCCCGACAGATTGCAGCCCGGATGCAATCAAGGATGAGTTTTACCACCAGTTATCAGTTCTTCTCCAGAAAGTGCGTTCGACAGATATTGTAGTACTAGCCGGAGACTTGAATGCTCAGGTCGGGCGTCTAGGCACAGAAGAGAGTCGTTTAGGTGGCCGATGGGGACTCGTTGGTCGCAGGTCAGATAACGGGGACCGTCTACTGCAACTTTGCACAGACCACAACCTGTTTCTGGCTAGCACTAACTTTCGGCACAGTCATCGCCGATGTGCCACCTGGCGTCCTCCCTCTGCATCTCAAGCCTGGACTCAGATTGATCACATCGCGATCAGCTACCGCTGGCGTGGTTGTGTACAAGACTGCCGCTCCTTTTGGAGTACCTATCTGGACTCTGACCATGCCTTGGTCTGCGCCAATCTTGCCTTACTTTTCAGTGGACAACGAAGTGACCGCCACCAACGGATTGATGTTAGCAAGCTGGTTGCAACTTCTGTTGCAAGTAAGTATCGAACCGAGCTAGCCTCTAGGCTAGCTACCACTCCACCGAAAAGTATAGATGAGCATTGGTTGCAATTGCATGACGCCATGAAAATGGCGGGAACAGTCAGTTGTGGGTTTGCGAAACGTCCCGCTTTTAAGCACTGGGTTTCTTCTGGTTCCTTACAACTCATTGAAGCCCGTCGGTCTACTCCGGGTGACCGTGAGTTTGACCATAAACGAAGGATGTTACGTAAGGAAATTGGGCAAAGCTTGCGTAAGGACCGAGAAGCCTGGTGGTCGATGCGTGCTAATGAGCTGGAAGCAGCAGCTGCATCTGGTAACTACCGGAAGCTCTTCCAGCTCATCCGAGCCACTGGCAGCAAGAAGTCTGGTGTGAGTGAAACAATCTGCGAGGATGATGGGATGCCAATCACTAACATCCATCGACGTCTTGGACGATGGGCAGAATTTTTCGAAGGGCAGTTCAACTGGCCTGCTGCTCCGGCAACATCGGTCAGACTGTCCTGCCCTCCATGGCCGGTGACGACTGATCCACCAAATGAGGAGGAAGTCCGCAAGGAACTCCAACTCTTGAAGCGTTACAAATCACCTGGCCCAGATGACTTACCTCCGGCTCTTTTTAAAGATGGTGGTGACTTTTTGACTAAGGAATTGACGACGTTGTTTACAAAGGTTTGGGAACTAGAGAGTGTACCAACGTCATGGAATGAGTCGATAGTTGTCCCTATCTTTAAAAAGGGTTCACGTCGTTCCTGTAACAACTATCGGGGGATAAGTCTACTTCCGATTGCGTCCAAGCTATTGGCTTCCGTCATACTTCGTAGGTTGTTCAAAACCCGAGAAAGATTGACTCGCGAGGAGCAGGCTGGGTTTCGTTCTGGTCGAGGATGTATTGATCATATCTTCACCCTCCGCCAAATGTTAGAACACCGCCATACTTTCAAAGGCCAACAATCGTAGTGTTTCTTGACATCAGGGCTGCCTTCGATTCGTTGGATAGGACTGTTCTCTGGGATTGTCTATTGAAGAAGGGTGTGCCTGAGAAGTTTATTAACATCCTAAAAGCCCTATATAAAAACACCTCAGGCAGAGTGAGGGCATACAACCACCTCTCTCCATTGTTCCATTCGAGCAGTGGGGTTAGGCAGGGTTGCCCAATCTCACCATTCCTCTTCAACTTTGCCATCGATGACATTCTGGAAACAGCTCTGATGAATGTAAGTAATGGTGGTGTGGATCTGTTGCCTGGAGAAAGACTTCTCGACCTTGAGTATGCGGACGATATTGTCTTACTGTGCGATAATGCCCAAGGCATGCAATCCGCACTTAATCAGTTGTCCGTAGGTATGGTATGTGCTTTGCACCTTCGAAGTGCAAAGTACTTCTACAAGACTGGCAGGATTCTAATCCTGTACTCACCCTGGATGGTGAGCAGATAGAAGTAGTTGAGAAGTTCGTGTATCTGGGTAGCTGTGTTCGATCATCGCTGTCTCCGAAGGATTGCTGACATTCAGTGGCAACACCATGTTAGTAATGCAGAGGTTCTACATCGTGTGTTCGGGCACAGAGACGATAATGCAATTGGTGTCACCATCTTGAAACACCGACTTCGGTGGCTTGGACATGTTCTACGAATGTCGTCCCAGAGAATTCCACGTCGTGCATTATTTGCCGACTCTGGGACTGGTTGGAAGAAGCGGAGAGGTGGTCAGTGCATGACATGGTGTCGTGGTATGAAAGAAAGCTGCAAAGGACTGGCTTCTGTCGGTCCCTCACGACTCCCTGGTTGGGGTCTGAGAGATGGTGCTACACAGTGGCTAGAGACGTTATCAGATGTGGCTCAGAATAGAAGCCAGTGGCGATCCTGCTGTAACCTTCTTTTACTTTCTTCATAAGAAGTGGTTGTATCTTCCTTAACTGAAATATTTCTTCTGATCGTACTCTTTTGTTCCCCTACTATTGCTATTATTATTATTAGTACACCACCTTACACCAATCTCTTCGTTATTGTTTTTTTAATTATTATTATTATTTCTTTCTTTTAGGTTCCTCACTTTTTTTCCTTCTTAGATTCTCATTGTTTTGTGTGGCGCACATATATTCGGCGCACTCCTGTACCGATATATATATGTTCAAATAAATAAGTAAAATCAATAAAAATTAGGCCAAATTTAGGAGAAACGGGGACGAAATTATTAGACATGGATTTTTTTTGTTTGTATTTATTTACAGTGTTCCTGAAGCGAAATTCCGAAAAAAAAAGGTTGGGGGTTTATTCTGTTGGTGAATGAAACGACAGTTCAAATACTGACGACAACAAAAGTAATAAATAATAACTATTGAACAAGAGGTGAATACCATGATTACATAACCTATTGATTAACATTTTGAGATTCAAATCAATAAATAATTAGATTGAGCCAAAGTGGAAATATCAACAGTACGATGTAGATACACCAGTCTGACGAATAGCACTATTAAAATGTAGCATGAAAGTACATTCAAATCAACAAGAAAATCATAAGTGGAGAAGATGGATACGAAAAATATACAGTATCAAGGTGTTTAATAACTAAAAACAAACATTATGAACTACTTCTTGCTACTGTAATCATTTTTGATTCCTTTCAACTAATGTCTTAACTGGATAGTGTACAATTTTTCTGTTACGTAATCCAAATCCACAATTATTAATTTCATGAAATCAATTTGTTTAAAAAACTAGATCATATCTCTAACTTTCACATATCATAAGATTTATCTGAAAGCCGTTATTTAATATTCAGTCTTTATCCATTCTTTATTCAGAAAACAAATCAATTTTTTTTAATTAAAGAAATTTCAATTCGTTCATGAACGAACTGCATCTCTGTGCTAATGTGGTATGGCAACTTGAACTGATGTACATACGTACGAAGTTCTACGTTGTTACTGACTGACTGACTGACTCATGAACGAAACAATGAATAAGTATAAAACAAACCGTAATGTTAATTTCATATTTTATTTTAGATATATAAATTGTATTATATAATACTTACTTCACGTGACTTTCGTTCTTCACGTGTTTTTTGAACAAGCGCATGGGTTGACAACTGTGAAGGTGTGTAAGGATGGAAAAACAATTTGCCAAATAAAAAGAGATTGATTAAATATAATTGTTAGGGATTTCTAATTAAGTTTACCAAAAATAATAATAATAATAACTAACCTTAAAATAGGAAAATTAGAAACCATAAGTATTTTATGGTAAAAAAAGAAGGATGAATCGTCCTGTCTTACTTTACGGTTAAGACATGATCAATCATAGGTTACTTGTATATGATCATAGATGCTTTCAAAGCAGTACTCATGTATATTGAGACCACTAAGTGATTAATGCTGAGATTAGATGGATGGTGCCAGGTAAAGATTATAAATCAGTTGATGATATGGTGAACCTCGATCGATTGTGGTACTTGGGACATGTATTGGGTATGTTTAATCACTACCAACTTCGACTCGTAATATTTGCTGGTATAGGGGCGAGTCAAAATAAAGCTAAGGTAGCTAAACCAAAACTTGACATCAATTCAAAGAGTCATCGACTACTGGAGTAAGCCGTGTTGATAGATGGAATCGACCGGTTGGAATCTGCGCGAACACAATAACCGATATCTGAAGATGTTGAATGATACAGCTCAGAACTGTTTGCTATAATACAGGTGGATCACTCTGTTTTCTACTGGATCTTGAGTTTTAAAGTAATCTTAAACTGTTTATTCAGTGAACTTATCCGTCACTCATCTCGAATCAGATTTTCTTGGCCTAGTTTTTCTACTACTACTGATATTGGTACTACTTTCATCGTACTGGAATTTTTCTTGAGGATTTCATCTCACCGTGATCATGGGTAACAACTTGAACCGATGCATATATCTGCCAGGTTTCACGTTGCTTGTGACTGTATCAAGGAGGATGAGAGACGGAAAACAACAGATTCAACCAGTTGGTTCATCGTAAGTAACGCAGAACCTAGTACAAATGTATATCGGTCCAAGTCTACACGCCAAATCAACGCAGCAATACGAAATTATCAGCTAATTATAATGTACGACAGGGCATAAATATGTAATAGTAAGGTTACGATTATTCACACCAGGATAGTGATAGGATAATAGCAAGTAATAGAAAATGGAGAATAATGTAAGATACAGTGGAAAGCTAGAAGAAACATAGAGCAAGAAAAACAGTTAGCAACGAAAATTGAAATTACACTAACTTCAAGATTTAGACTCTAAGAGGAGGATACATAACACATATACCACAGATACTGTGATGATTTTCGGGTCCCATCACATGGCTGAACGTCTTCAAATACATGTCACAATCCCATAGTTTCACACCACGGGATTACTTTAGTTAGACAACTGAAAACCAAGGAGCACTGAACATTTGTTTCGTCATAGTATGGGACACCTAACAAGTATTTATCCACGACCCTACCTGGAATCGAACGCAAGACCCTCACACCTCACGATGAGCATTTAAACTTCATACAACTTAACTGGTATCTGATGGTTCACATCCCTAAACTCAGTTTACTCGTGGTGCTGCGTGACCCAAATTCTAGCCCGGAAGTCTCCGCTCAGTGACACAGACCAGTCCAATGATTAGTGCCTTCGTAAATTGAATCCAAATCTTGATTTGTCCGTTTCTAGAATCTTTACACTTCTGAAGTAATTATCATTCGGTATCAGTATGAGCGGTGGTCGGAAAATGTGATACACATATCTAGGATGATGAGTTGAAGGTATAATACCTCACATACTGATTTATCATATTAACTCAATATCTTCAGCCAAATATAAATGTAAATTACATGATGGTCTAATTATACGCTAGCAATTTTTTGAAGACATGCACAAGCAAATACTAGGGATTTAAATATCACTTCACCTTGATAAAAATTACATATTAATCAATATAATTTAACTATTTTGTGAGAATAAATTATTTACAACGAGATAAAGTTGTAGTGTAATTCCAACGTGGGACCCAGTGGCTGAAGGTTGAATATTTCAACTATAAGTCACAGCTTCACATCACGGAGTTAAATGCTAAGTACAACAGAATGGCGAATAAAACCAAAAGGTTGAGTGGAATTGAAATGACCAGTGGTTATCCAGCTGCTAGCACACTTAGTTACAGAGTCTAAAATAGATAAGGTACTTACAGTTGTTCCACTCAATCACATTCTTCAATTCGCGTGTTGCAGTAAATCAATCGAAATGATAGGGGAAATTTAGACTAGTTTAACTGTCTAATTATATACCAAGAGATTTATATCTTAGGTCAAGGTATTTTGCGCAGTACTATTTACCATATAACTAATACAGAATATAACATTAATATACTTGAGTAGTATGTAATTGTCATGAGACAAAATAATTCAACTGCTTGTGTTAAAGGTAGTAGTTGTCAATCTAATTTCTTGGTACTTGATTCGAGTAAGAAATAAAACTAACAGTCTGGTCTTAATTAACTGGCAAGTGAGTGGCATATAAAACTCATATACTTCAATAACTTATGACATTTAATCATATTTATTGTTGTATCTAGTGTTTTGTACATAAATATGTGGTCACTAAAAATACTGCGTTAGCTAGTTATCTTGTCTTTTGATATCAATCCAATTGTGGCCTGCGTCTACAACTTCGTTTGGTGAACAATTATCGTCAGTCATATTGTATTATCAATAAATCAACATCCTAATTATCCATCCAACAATTTAAAACCTATTCACCGAACTTAAAACCTCCCGCGCAACAGTACTCCAAAGCAATTTTAAGATGGTAGCTTTCAACTCTCGAACCGATATTTCACACATTATTTTCATTCTCTACTCCAAGTATCACTCCTATAGTTACTAGCGGTATTTCAATAGCACTATGTTCCCCATGTTCTGTTTACAAAATATGAACTAGACACATTCGTATCCTATAGATGAATTACGTTTGTTTTTTACATAATGAATACATCTTACACAGTTTGCATGTAGCCGACAATGATTCTGTGAAATAAAACGAATTTATCACAACCCGCAAATGTTATGTTTGTTAAAATAAGTAAATGAATACATGAATAAAGCATTACCTTTTGGGTATGATCAAGCACTAATGATCGCTTTGATTTGTAATTCCCTTCAAATGAGTACATTTCAACGTATATTTCCAAACTTATAATAGTATAAAACCTTTCCCATCCACAATAATCCAAAAAGGGAAAGTCATAACAGACCTCTTGTTCTTATAGTCCCAAAAACACTAAGGAATAAAAAATGTGGACAGTGCTTTATTATTACTCCTGAGTATATCAACCCTTCAAATAGTAAGGAATCATCTCTCCAGGTAAAAAAGATTAACCACGGACTAAAAAGTTGCTTTCACTTGTGAATTCGTCACTTATAGACCAGATATTGAAGAAGACTTTTCGGTATATTTATTATTAATTTAAACACGAAAACATTGGTACAATAGGGACCAAAATATATATGCACCGCTAAAAGTAGTCATCATTCACTTGGCGTGTGAGCTGTGATGATGTCCAGGTCGCCAAACCGAAACAGGTGGTCTTCTTAAAAGCCTACTCCCCAAGCTTTTGACCTAGAGGTTTAATCCACAAGGCAGTGGAGTAACGTTAGGAGATGCAAACCCCAAATGCCATGATACGGCCGAGGGTGGGGAGAGTCAGCTTTCCCTCTCAAAATTCTCTCACATGACCACGTGCATACAACCACTGTCAGGGACTTCCTACTCACTGCCTTTCCGCGGCATTACTGTTGTTTACAAAAGTGAGGGGACAAAAAGCGAATGTCCGGTGCTTTAACTCGGTTGGTGGATCCACCTAAGGGAGTTAGAAAATCCTGATTCAAAACCAATGGTGTAAATGGGCTTCAGGATTTTGAAGGAACAAAGGGTGCATGAACCGGCTACCACATGACTGCATTTTCTAAAGCTGCACCACAGCCTTGTGGTCTAAAAATCCAGGTCAGAAGCTCGAGGTGTGGCCACCTAAGAAAACTACCTGCTTCGGTTTGGGAACCAAGGCAGTATCCCATCCCTCACACAAACCGAGTGATTTATATGGCGCATATGTATTTGGTGCCTTCTTGTACCAATGTTTATTTATTTGAATAAATAAAAAATAAGGGGTGATCAACATTAGGTTCGTACACCATTTGTTCCCTCGGGATCCTGGAACCCATGTGCATCATTGGTTCAAAATCAAGGTTTCCCAACCGCCGTTGGAGGATCCGCCACACCCACCAACTCGCTTTAAGTGCCGAACACTCACCTTTCATCTTCATAATTTAACAAACACCCTCACCACGAGGATTTAGTAGTAAACTGAGACTTACATACTTGTTTGTCTTGAGCTTCTCAAAAACGAATACACAAAATCTTATGAAATCAAAGTTAATAATTTCGCAGATAACTACCGATGTCTGTATTAAGCTGATAACTTGAACCTTTTGCTTGAAAACATGGTGTCAACCACCCAACAGTCTTATTTGTTAGATTAAATCGACTAAAAGGAAGTCATTTATTTGACACGATAGTTCTAAACTACTACTCTTGCAGAGCGGAAATGAAACAGAAGAAACTATAATTTATAGGCAAACCGATCAGATTAAAGATAGTATATCTTGGATTTTGATGCAGGACTTGTCCACCAGTTTGGTCAAATACCATTTTTGGCATTATAGCTGATATTAGTTCGTGATGAAAACATTAAATTCTCAACCTCACGTCCAACCGTAAATCCTAATTCTAATCCCTCATACCAATTTATAGCCCTCATTTAACTCTAGTAAGTAGGCGGACAGTTCAAGGTCAATTTATTGTTCAAAGGTCGCCCATAAATTGTCTCACCGAAAAAACTGCTAAGGAATAGGTAGAACGTTTTACTGTCAAACTCGCGCTCTAACATTTTAAGTGCAGGGTTAGCTCAAAAGTCATTTTATTACGGTGCAAAACTTTAAATGAGTGTATGAAGACTATTAGTGTTTTTGATTTGTGACATGTCGCAGATGAGATTTTAGGATATAGAACAGTCTTACTCCTTTGAGGAATTCAAATATTTTAGGTCGGACACGCTCTTATCTAACTGTTAAACCCCTACTAGGGCTAAATCACTTATTGTACCATGGTCCACAAAAAGTCAACTGACCAACAGCCGCCTCCCTGATTGACCCTCATAACAGGTACATATTAACAATCTTCAAATTCAAAGACAATATAAACCACAAGAAGCACGCAGTTTTATGTTTGGAATCTTGATTTCGGTTGTCTCATAGAGTTTGGTTATGCAAAATGGTGTAAGTGTATTTCTTGATCCCCTCAATGCCTTAAGGACGAAATAACTTAGACATCAAGTTTCCTTAGAGGAATTAGCAAATTGTTTATTCCTTGTGATCTGCATCTGGGTAGTTAGAAAGTGCTCCTAGCCACGTGTAAACGGTCGAACCTGCCATTTAATAAGATTATAACAAGTCACAATCACTACTTATGGAATCAAAGGGGATTTTGTTGTTGCTTGAGAGAATTTCATAAATAACGTATGATTAATTGGAAACCAAACAAGAATGAGGATATACTCCCGAGTTACCATATAGAGTGGTGGCTGTGTCATTTTCTACGGTGATTAGTTCCATACTACGTGGAGCCTGTACTATTACTCAACAGAACTCCCAGAAGTGATCCTGAGAGCTGAAATGGTGTACAGGAAATCGTAGCACCTATAAAGAACACCCGTATATGACCCAGTCTACCGTACTGAGGGGAGCAGCTTCATTCTTGGCAACACTGCTTAGCGTGATGTTCCCACATTCACAAAGCCGAAGCACATTACCAGAAAGTTGGAATCTAACTTACGTCACACATATTTTCTAAAGAGGTCGACGCAGCAAAACATCAGGCTACCGAATTGTCATATACGTCAACAACCTGCTTGTTAACCTGGCCCGCACATACGTTACACTATATCTCCATGTCTTCTAAATTTAGGAATCATCTGAATCGCTTTTAACATTTATCAATAAACCCATAGTCGTTGTTGCTAATCGTATTTGTGTTTATGGATTAGTTTATCATATTAGCAGCCTAAAATGCGAACATAGTTTAGATAATAAGATTAAAAGTTTAGGTACTATCAACTACACTAGTAAAGTAACTAAATCCTCAGGTAGCTGTTTACTAAACAGACGTTTAAAGTCAAAACTCAGCCTACTAAAATTAACACTAAACGAATATTTCTGAATTGAAATTTATAATATAATTAGGCGTCTCAGATTATGTAAAGTTACAAATTTCTGATAATTTTGAATCACCTAAAGCAATAATACCTATTTTTCCACTGGCTAATCCTCAATCAACACTATAACTAGTTAAACATAGTAGTTTCAGGATATCGTCATAAAGCATTGTCATGACTTGACAATCACGTAATATGATTGATAAAATTAATGAAACTATTAACATAACCGTTCAGCAAATCGACTTAAAATTATCACTAGTGTTGTTTTTCTTTTATCTTCATTCACTACAGATGATTACAGTATGTTTCTCTATCAGTTGCTCATTCAGTAAATATCTCAAAACCTTGTCAGTCTAATTGATGGTTTAGCGACACAATCATGCATGCAAATAATCAATATAAGCAGTCGAGCAAATCTCCTGCAAACTGAAAACATCAATGTCGAATTTACCCCAACACTGACTAAGGTTCAAGCCATTATCATAGACATGAGTCGGGAGTGTACTCTCCTTGGTTACAACTTGTGTTCTTCCTGATAATCACATGAGCATCTCTCACTGTTAATCATCTTGTAAAAGCTTATTTAGCCGAATACATCCTGCAGCACCACATCACCTAGTAATATGACACAGGCCTAACTGATTTCAATAACTTATAACCACTATATCTCAATTAAATCGTATTCCGACTTATGATAAACTGCATACTTGCAACTAACTTGTATGCCTAATCAGCCAGCAAGTATAAATATAAATAAATAGTCTGCCGCAGGTCAGAACATTGAGTCTAGAGCATGTCTCTTACGAATACACTCATGTTTAACGATTTGTTCTTAGCTATCTGTCCAAAATTCATAGAATTATCACCCATGTATTCAAATTTTATTTTGATAACCACTCATGTGTATTAGTAGTATTACTAAATTCTATCACGGTCAAGTAAAAATGAGGTTGAGTAAGTCTCCCCGTAACTAAATAAACCGTATCAAACTAACAGGAACACTAGTTGGAATTCTTCTCCACGGTATACTTTTGTTCCTTCAGTTAGCCTACTAATACAGATGCAATTGGAATTCAACTTATATGGACAACTTACCGGCATAATCGTTATTTGATTTCATAATTTAAACCAAAACTAATACCAATATTAATATTCCTACAATATTGATCAATTTAATATTTCTAAACGCAAAATACTTACTACCTATACGTTAAGTTATTAACCAACGGCTATTAACACGCATCGTTTTATATTATTATTATTATTGTAACCCCATTTTTTTATAGCTCAAATAATCTTCACCCAAATTTTCATTTCAAGCATTTTAAGCATGAAGGCAGATATTTTAAAATTATTACATGTATTTCCCGATCAGATGCTGCCGCTTTCTTTTTGATTTATCTTTCAGCTTACCAATACCCGGAGGATTCTTATTATCCTTGGTAACCTCCGGCGCGCGACGATCCCATCCAATTTGGTATCGAACCAACATCACGTTGATTCTGGTGGGAGAGTAGTGTAGTGGCATTGGACAATAGCCACATAATCCACAAAGCTGTGAACACGAGACTACTCAGGAAATAGATATTCAACATTTAACGCGGAGAAATACCCAACAATGGAGAAGGCGCGTACAATGAATTGAATGGATTAGAGTTGGTCGTATGGCATGGCTCGGCCATGCAGGCGTGGTCCATCTCAATGTTACTTTATATCTTCTATTCATATTAAATATATTGTTCTTTCTCTAGCCTAACCTTGTTCTACATCATGTTTTGGTAGTTGATACGATACAGTGAGTTGGTGTAGTCGATGGTGTGACTTCCACGTAAGATCTTATAGATTAGGCAGTTATATCATGACAAATCTACAAATTTAGGATTAGGTCTATTATTAGAGCA